ACTACCCATGAACCTCCAAGTTGGAGTGGAGGTACTTATGCATCAAGCTCCGAACCGCCAGTTGATCGTGTGCCGCTTGAGGGCACGAGGCCCGAGACTTTAAGGCTTTCAGGTTTAGAGGGGTTTAGGATTTAGACCCTAAGCCCCAAACCCTGAACTCTAAACCCTAAGGGGTTCTCTACAGGGGCTAAGACGGCTTACGTAAGGATTTGGTTAAAAGGTTAGGAGAGAAGAGTTTCTACTTGGAGGCTCATGGGTAGTTATAAGTAGGGTTAAAAGTAGGGTAGCTGTAGTTATAACCTATCTTAGGAGACTTATATCTCCACTTATAACTACCCATGAACCTCCAAGTAGATGTTTCGGGTTGCAGGAGTTGAGGGTTTAGGGTCTCATCGACTGGGAGGGGTCCTTGGAGGGCTGGGGCAGATCCGGGAGGAACAGGTCATTGGTGGATTTGGTCGTCATGGTTTAGGGTTTAGGGTTTAGGGTGTGTTTGTGACACATCACAACGGGGTCCTGGCGGTCTTGGGATTACACAATTCACGGACGTGAGCCTTGAGTCGCAAACGGATGGAAGGGTGAGTGAAGCACATCAACCAGACGAGACAGAACTGCAGCCGGTGATGCCTCATGAGTCAGGGTGTCCACGGTTCGAGTGAGGTCCCTTCTCCTAAGCCGCCTGCTGAACCCTGAATTCCAAAGGCTGCATACCCTAGGCACTATAACCCCCCACACCATCCTGAATCTTAAACCCCATAGCGCAGCAGGATGGTCCGAAAATGAACCCTGCAACCTAACCTGCCTCGTGCGAACACCAACCAATTCTGTTTACACTTCTACAGGGGCCTTGACAATTACCTATGCTATTTTGGGGGGCTCCTTACTATAGTTCTAGTAGAAGATACCCAAAAACCCTATTCTGATTATTAAGGCCCCTATCTTAAAGTGTTGGAAGCCTGCATTGCAACCTGGAGCCTAAATGCCTGAAGCCTAGATTGAACCCCTATAAACCCTGTAAGAAGAACCCGTATAGAACTCCTATTCGACACTCCATCTTATTTTAGGGCCCCTACATTTAAAACCCTGTAAACCCTTACGGGAGCCTTACTCTACTTTTTCTCAGGCGTCTATGTTAGCGAACCCTAAACCCCCCAACCCTAAACCCTAAACCCTCAACCCTAAACCCTCAACCCCCCAAAATGCCAAGTCTGAAATCTGCGAGGCTGGCGCTAGGGGACTCGCTGCGTTTCGGCTTTTGCCCTTGGATCTACCGCTTGGAGGACCAGCCCCCTCGGATTTCATGGGGCGTTGTCGGTTTAGGGTTTAGGGTCTAGGGTTGAGGGTTTAGGGTCGAGGGTGTAGGGTTTGTAGGGTTTGGGGTTCAGGGTTTGGTAGGTTTAGGGCTAGGACTGTATGGGGCTCTTTAATAGGGGATTTATGGAAGGGTGTCAATAATGGTTTTTCTGGAGTTTTGGCCTGACCAGAGCCTTAGAGGTTTCATAAGGTTGTAGAGGTAATATTGGGGCCTTAATCATTAGAGCACGGTTTTGGGGTTCCTTATTTTTTTATAGTATTTTATACCCCCCAAACCCTATTCTATCTCTTAAGGCCCCTTTTTTAAGGTTTTACCAATGGGTTTCAAGGGCTGGGGCCCGACCACGCAGGGCCTCAAGTTTAGGGTTCAGGGTTTAGGCTTTTACTGTAGTGTTTAGGGTTTGGCGGGGCGAGTTTTCGAAGCGCACATCCGGCAGACTTGAGCATGCGGCGCCTTCGACAGTCCGTTGCAATTATTGTCGGTGACGGGGCCGTGTCGGTTGGGGGTCCCAAGCATTGGCATAGCTCTTCATGTGCGGAGCTTCTGTGGTTTCAATTAATATGGCCTTAATGATTGGACTACGGTTTTAGGTTTCTTGTACGATCTGAGAGCCGAAGCGAGGAGTGAGTATCCCAGGCCCTCCATAGCCATAACCTAAGCCCCAAACCCAAAACCCTGCGGAAGAGACGAGCCCGAATTAGCCTAAACCCTAAACCCTTCAAGAGCCCTCAAGTGTACCCAGGGCCCTGCCATACGCCAAAGCCGGAAGCAGGATGCTCCGGCAGCGGGTGATGCGACGGGGAAGACTGGAGAGGAGGCCCCTGGTCCTGATACTCTAAAGTAGAGAGGCCTAAGTAATTAGAATAGGGTTTGGGGGTATATTGTACCATAATTATGATAAGGAACCCGCAAAACCCTGTTCGAATTATAAAGGGGCCAACACGAGGCGGCTTAAGGCTTTGAGTTTCAGGTTCCGGGCTTAGGGTTTAGGGTTTAGGGCACGGTTTAGGTTTTGACGTCTAGGCTCTAGGATTTGAGGTTTTGGGGTCTTTAAGCTAAGGCCTAGGACTCGGAGCTTCAGGGCTATAGACTGTAGGGTTTAGGGTTTAGGGTTTAGGCTATAGACTGTAGAGTTTAGGGTTTAGGGTTTAGGGTTTAGGGTTTCAGGCTTCTGGTCTGGACTTCAAGGTTGAAGGTATAGGGCTCCAATATTGCGCTTAGTGAATGGGGATCTACAGCCCTAAACCCTAAACCGTAAACCCTAAACCCTAAACCCTAAACCCTAAACCGTAAACCCTAAACCCTAAGCTTTACCCTAAACCCTGACTGACTACTCGTGGGTATTTCGGCTCCGTGCCGAAGGGCAGGTGTTGGTTTGACTGCTCTCTTGGTTTCATGTTGTTGTTGCCACTTGGTCCCTACGCCTTGATATTGCCCTGAGCATTAAGCCCTAACCCTTAAAGCCTTAAACCCTAACCCTTAAAACCTTAAACCCTTAAAGCCTTGAGCCCGAAGCCCCCAACCCGAAACCCTAAACCTTAAGCTCGAAACCTAAAGCCCTTCCAGCCCGGCAGTCAATAACCCTTGCGTTTTTTTCCTGAAGTGTGGGCCCCCGAATGTGGACCTTTGGGCCTTTTTTCTGGGGGGGTTCTAGGGAACCTGAAGGGTACATACAGGGTAACCTTAGATCTTTGCCGCCTTGATGGCAAAGGGAATTGCCGACATGCTTCTTGCCTGGGGTTCACCCGGGCTAGCCGTAGTTCTGTACTTGCCGAATTGGCCACCCTGCATCCGAAGCGAAAAGCTTAGCAGCAAACCCGCAGCCCAACAGTTCTGGCGCTGAGTAAAGTTGTAAGCTGCCAACCTTCTAGCTGCGTAGGGCTTAAGGCTTTGGTTCGGGACCCATGAGCTTCCGCGTTGGTAGGGTTGAGATGTTGAGGGCAACCTGCAGATTCAGTGTCTCGAACTTTTCTTTGTCCTTCTGACAGGCTTTGAGCGCAAGAGTCTGGATAATTTACAGTTCCCTGACACTTCCGGTACTGCTGATACGATCATCATCTGTCTGCCAGTATATTGTGCCCCCCCGCAATTAAAACCTTTTCAATTCGTCAAACCTGCAGCTGCAGGTGAGATGCACCTCTTCGCGTGAGGAGAGGCCAAAGCCCTAAACCCCAAACCCTAAAACCTTAAAACCCCCAAACCCTAAACTCTAAAACCCTCAAACCCCTAAAAAACCATAAACCCTAAACCTCCCAACCCCTAAACCCGAAAACCCTAGACCTCAAAACCCTAAAACCCCCAAAGCCTAAGACCCTAAAGCCCTAAGCCCCCAAACCACAAAATCCCTTAAAGGAGAGCTTGGAGGTTCATGGGTAGTTCTAAGTGGGGTTATAAGTCCCCCAATATGGCTTATTTCTATAGTGACCCTACTTATGAGGCCCCGGTCAGACATCAGAGGGCGACTCCACGGAGCCTTCGACTCGCGCTCTTTGCTTTAGAAGGGTTTAGGGTTTAGGGTTTAGGGTTTAGGGTTTAGGGTTTAGGGTTTAGGGTTTAGGGTGTAGGGTTGCCATATCCTCTTACGCCTAAAGAGTTCCGTAGACGGCCGAGCGCCCTGAAACCCAGGTGCAATGTGCGAAATCCTAAACTTAAAACCCTAAACCAAACTCCCAAGCCGAAAACCCTAAACCCTAAAAGCGACCCGTCTTGTGTGTTAAATTGTATCGGTGAGTTGGTCTACCCGATTTCCCTGGCTTCCAGGGACTGCAGGACCGCGACGCGTTTATGGACATTGACTTCGTCTTTCGTCTCGTGAAAAGCGAGACATGGGTGGTTGTCAAAATTATGGTCCCCTTTTGGGTCCTTATTATAATACGGCACCTATTATTTAGGAACCCTAAACCCTAAACCCTAAACCCTAAACCCTAAAATGGGACCCTAATTTTGACAACCACCCACATGGAGTTTGACGTGTACGGATCCCGATCGCGGGAGCATTTGGGAGAGCTGGAACCGTTTTAGGGTTTAGGGTTTAGGGTTTAGGGTTTAGCAAGCAGACCAGATTGCGATATCGAGATCACCGTCCCAATTGGCCAAGGACCTGGGATATGCGGACTGCTCGCACTTTCTCCAGCAGCATGGTGCCGATGATTCAAGGGCTGCCCAACATCCAGAATACGAATTCGGCACGGGGAGTTCAACAAGCTGCTTCGCCACCTCTGGAGCCAACGGGGGGCTTTGGGTGTAGGGTTTAGGGTGTAGGGTTTAGGAGTTTAGGGTTTAGGGGTTTAGGGGTTTCGGGGTTGAGGGTTGAGAGTTTTGGGGTTGAGGGTTTATTGTTTGGGGTTTAGGGAGTCGCATTTTGAGGATACCGAGCCCGTCGGCTGCGAGGTGTTCACAGGAAGCTGAGGGGTCCAAAGGCTCGGTTCTGATGGACTAGGGTTTACGAACCCCCCAAACCACCAAACCCCCAACCCCCTTAACCCCAAACCCTCCCCTAAACCCTAAACCCTAAACCCTAAACTAAGCCGTAAACCCTAAACCCTCCCCCCAGACCCCCCCAAAACCTCCAAAACCCCCCAATTTGGGGTTACGGGGTTCTCGCGTTTCGAGGCGAAAGGTTTCAGATGGTTTCTGTTTAGTATAGGGGGCCTCAATAATTAGAATAGGGTTTGGGGGGGTGTATTATACCATAATTATAGCAAGGAAACCCCCAAAGCCTTATTCTAATTATTAAGGCCCCTACATTAGAGGTTTTTGTCCAGTCTTGGGCCTCGGGTGCCGGTTAACCTGGGTTTAGAGGGTTTAGGGTTCAGAGGTCTGGAGGTGCAGGTTTAGAGCTTTAGGGCTTAAGGTTTAGGGTTCAGAGGTCTGGAGGTGGGGGGTTCAGGCTTTAGAGGTCAAGAGGTTTAGGGTTTAGGGTTGGGCCTTTTCCTTCTTTCGTCTTCTTTCACTTGCATCGGCTTTCGACGTAAACCCTAAACAGCCTCCAAAGCCCCCAACGTCCTTCTCCCTGCGCACAAAACCCAAGCCCTAAATCCCTAAACCCTAAACCTAGACTACCTCAACCCTAAACCCTAAACCCTAAACCCTAGACCCGAAACCCCAAGCCCTAAAGCCCTGAACCCCAAACATGAAGCGAAACTCAGCTGGTGGCATGCAAGCCTTCCTTCGGAAGGCGGCAGCAGCAGCTGCAATTCGCCGAGACTTCTTACCTGGGCTGGCTTACCCAGGCGGGCTTAGGGCTTACCTTAACCTCAACGAACCTACTTTTTTAAGGACTTATATAGTGAAACGGTGTTAAGGAACCCTGAAATTTGCAATCCAGGCAGGGTTTAGGAAGGCCATCATGGGGATTTAGGCTTTAGGCTTGTTTGGTTTAGGGTTTAGGGT